CCCCAAAACCCCAAAACCCCAAAACCCCAAAACCCCATATTCTAATCTAATTATAAAAGCATTAAGGGCTATGATATGGCATACTTATGAAAAGAACACTATTATTCTGAAATGCCTTCTTTCAGCTGTGATTGTCTCAGTTTTAAAACTTCTCCATCAATCATTTGGTCTAGCCATACATCTTGGCCTTCTTTGAATTTTTGGGTATATTCAAGGAGAATTTTGCCATTATTTCCGGATCCCAGTTCTACGGCATTTTTGGCATCTTTATGTCCAATTTCAAATCATCTGTCTATTGTCTTTTCGTCAAAACTTAGAGAGCCCCCTCCATCAGACAAAGGTTCTGAGGGAGCAATAATGTATCTAAAGCTTACATCGGGATGTTGGACAATTGAAGAATTGTAGTCATCCATGCCATGATAAAAATCTGATATTTCTTTAGCTCTTTTATAATGTTCCATGGCAGTGAAATTTGCTAGGTCATCAACTGTTTTCATCTGATAATTTCCACAAAGAATCATATCAATGATTATATCATTTTCATCATTGACGACCTCCTTGCATCTTCTGACTGCAGAATCAATATCAATGTTCCAGATGACCCCTCCATCGACAAGTTGATAGTTATTTCTCTTGATTGGTGGCAAGAAGCCTGGTATTGAAGAAGAAGCCATGGCAGACTCTCTGATATTTTCAGGTTCTGAATTAGTTACATTATAGTCCCAGACTTGATAAGTGGCTCCGATAGAGTCAACCGTAGCGAATGATACTTTTCTTTTAACAGATTTTTCAGGTAATGTACCTCTTAGCCATCTTTTTCAATTGTCTAGGGTGAACATTCCTTGTTTGAACATTAGCCCATAGAGGATATCCCATGTTGTCGTAGGATCAGGGAAGGTTAAAATATTTCTCCAATAGAATAGCATATAACTAGCAGCAGAATGGACATCTGTGGGATCGAAAGTCGATAAAGCTAATGTATTCAATGATCCAGCAGATACACCAGTGATTACATCGTATTGTAATTCCTCGGCTGGTAGGTTTTCGTATAAACCATGGAAGACAGCTGCTTCATAGGCTCCCTTGTCTCCACCTCCAGAAAGAGCCAGTGCTCTGCATTTCTTAGCTTCTGCTGAGGTAAATGTCAGAAGCAGAGCTGTAATGCATATTATTCTCGCAATGGTTTTCATCTGGCAAAATTGCAATAAGATAAAAATTGAATGCGTCATGATTCCACAAAACATAATACTCCAACTCTGATATCTCACACTTTTATTATAATTCAACATTTTGAATAATAGTCTAGTTTCAATATTATATATAAAATCGGGGTTTTGGGGTTTTGGGGTTTTGGGGTTTTGGGG